GGGGGGGGGGGGGTGAGGGTAGGAAGTCGAATGTCCCGTTTAAAGAATAGTTTCTCATGGTCGTCTTGCCGTGTCGTAAAAAACAGCAGGGACAGGAACGTCCTTTAAGAGTGGACCGTTTTCCTATTGGTTAGCAGCTGATTTATAAGCACACAAAGAGATGACTGGCCTCGCTCCTCTGAAGTGTTGTCTTATCCCTCTGAACTCCTCAATCCGTACTGCATGAGATGGAATTGAAGATTGGATGGATGAAAATAGTTTTAGGGAATTCCCTTTCACCAATTTCACTCTTTTAAAGGCGGAAAATAAATGAAAAATAATTTACATTTATGAGAAGATAGAAAGAAGCCGTTTTTTGATGATCTTGAGTAAACTGTTTATACCCATACTATATGTTACATCCCCAGCTCATTTGGATAAAAGGGAAGCAACACAAGACCAGGTGTTCTTGGTAAGAGGTTGGTTCTAATAATAAACTCAAATAAAAATGATATAAACAAAGATAGGGTCTTTAAACAAGGAGCTATTTATTTATAATGTAAGCAAAAAGAAAAAGGAGGCCACAGATCAGCACAGTCACAAGTTTCAGAACAATAAGGGCACGAAGGCGAAAATAGTGAGGCGTCTAGTACAAATCCAACGCCGTCACAAGTCCAACACCGTCACGAGTCCAACGCTGTCACAAGTCCAACGCCGTCACAAGTCCAACACCGTCACAAGTCCAACACCGTCACAAGTCCAACGCCGTCACAAGTCTTCATCATCATTTTTTGTTTGATTATTACTTAAATGTGGCCAAAAGTCCCAAATGCCATTTCAAAATGCCTGTTCCATTATCTGCAAAGCTTGAAGGTATGTTAGTAGCTGTACGATATATGTTGTCTTTGTCACTCTGTAAATGAGGGTCAAAGCTATGCTAAAGAGTTTGCAGAATAATGTCTTCTCTCTCATAGATGCAATGTTCTCCTTTCTCGCCTTCCTGTTGCTCACCTCTCTACCTGTGTTTCCTCAGGTGCTGGAATGGATTCGCAGGAAGCAGGTGCCAGTTTCGTGACCCGTGCACCACATCGCCATGCATGAACGACGGCATGTGTCGCGCTGTGACCAAGGGCAACACGGCGGACTTTAACTGCACCTGCAAACTGGGCTACACCGACCGCCGCTGCATGACGCCCATCAACAACGTGTGTATCAGCTCGCCGTGTCGCAACGGAGGCACCTGCGAGCTGGAGAGCCTCCAGACGTACAAGTGCCGCTGCCCCCCTGGATGGTCAGGTAACAAACAACAGGATTATGACAGCAGAGCAGTGTTTTCTTTCTTATTATCTGATGGGTCTTAAAGGATCAACCTTGGTGCCTAGACCTAGATACATTTTTTGTTGTTGACCTAAATCCTAAGAAAAAAGCCTATTATGTGTATAGCTTACCTGCAGCATATGATGTATGTATACAGTAGATGTGTATGAGTATATGCATATGTTGCATGTATGCATATGTATCACTTGCATATTAATTTAACAATGTTTTTGGTAAATAATCGTGTGTATGAGGCTCACTGGCAGTGAATGTATGGGATTACTTTAGTCGTTGTTATTGTTTGTTTGTGTTTTTTGTAATTTATCTTCTCTTTGTACATACAATCAGTACAAACCACTGTCTCATTTGTATGCATATATTTTGCTTTCCATTTCTAAATGACAAACCTTTTTTGCATTGTCGAAACGCAATACAAATATTTTTGATCTATAACTACTACTATAACATAATTTCTCCTTGCCCTCAGGTAAGCTGTGCCAACAAGCCGACCCCTGTGCCTCAAACCCGTGTGCCAACAGCGGCAAATGCACCGCCATCGAGTCCCACTACATCTGCACCTGCACGGCCTTCTTCACCGGAAAGACCTGCAAACAGGACATCAACGAGTGTGACGCAAGCCCGTCACCCTGCAGGAGTGGCGGGTTGTGCATCAATGAGGTCGGAGGCTACAAGTGCCAGTGTCCGCAGGAATACACGGGGAAGCACTGCGAGAGCCGCTACATGCCCTGCAACCCGACGCCATGCCACAACGGAGGCACCTGCATCCAGAGGGGAGAGACCAGCTACGAATGCTCCTGTGTACCAGGTACGGAGGTTATACTTGATATATATATATAGATGCATTATCCACTTTGTTTTTGTATGACAGTGGAAAGGACAGTTCGGATTCAAAATATTGAAGGCGTTAGCATTTAGCTTTCCTGCCACAGTTTCTGCCCACAAGCCCTGCACTCATTCACTCATCGCCACTCACACTGTGCTACTCTTTAGGTTTCTCTCTGACCTTTACATAGTGTCTTGTTGTCAATAACAAGTACACTTCTTTAATCATTTAGAATTAAAGGTAATTTTATATGCTGTCATGAACCATGTGACCATTAAAGATCCTCTTGAATAAACGCAAATGTATTATCTCTTAGTGCACTGTGTTCCTGAAGCCACTCACGTCCCCCTAAGATGTCACTGCTGTTAGTGGCTGGTTAGGGGATGATGTCATTTAAGGCTGGGCTGTTCCTGCCTGTGTGCATACACATGTGTGTGTGTGTGTGTCTGCTTTACTCAGTACAGTGTGTGAACAAGGCAGAGCAGGAAGACATTGGGGCTTATCATAAGGAAATGGACAAAGGACAACATCCTTTCCACATAGCAGCGGGGTGAAATAAAGCTTGCTGGGACGTTAGGTCCTGCCTGCACTCTCATCACCTCCGCACAGTCTCTCTCTGCCTTGTCTTTGTCTGCTGCCACTCCCGTCCATAACAAGCTGTCCCTAGAGACATCTTGACAATCCTTTTATATTATATACACTATTCCACTGATAGACTGGTGAGGTTTCTTTTACGAATATACTTTTGCAAAGCTCAGGTACTCCCCTTTTCTTCTAATCTTGTAGACAAAACATTAAAGCCTCTACTAACTATTTAAGTGTCCTTTTCACCAGGAAACCTCAAATGAAAGGGGAAAAAAGCTGTAAAAATGGTCTTCAGCACTATTAGCTGTGTGCCTTGACTTTAGACCTAAACAATTATTTTACAAGATGAGCAAATGTGACTCCGAGCAGCAGCAGGGCTGACTTGTCCTGTTTTTGATTTGTATTATCCAACATGCCACATGTACAGTCCGGTGGCTCCTCTCGTTGTGTATCTGTACAGCAGAGTGAATGTTATTACATGGTGAGACAACCACAGATCTCCAGATGGCACAGCTGCCTTCTTTCTTTTTTGGGGTTTAAAAAGACCGTTGACCACATTTAACTGTAGAGAAGTTTCACTCCCTTTGTCGTAAACGAGAACTGTAAATCAGCCCCCACTTTTTGGAGACAGTAATTAATATTTTACTCTTTCTTACAGGTTTTAATGGGAAAAACTGCAACCTCAACATTGATGACTGTCCAGGTCATGGGTGCCTGAATGGAGGGACGTGTGTAGATGGAGTCAACACCTATAACTGCCAGTGCAAACCAGAATTTACAGGTTTGTATAGAGATGTTCCTTTTCACTTTGATTAGTTTAACCTGCCTTAAAGAGTTTGTCAGTCATCCCCCTGATCCGCCCGCAGGTCAACTTTGCACCGAAGATGTCGATGAGTGCCAGCTGATGCCCAACGCCTGCCAAAATGGCGGAACATGTCACAACACCTACAGCAGCTACCAGTGCGTGTGCGTGAACGGCTGGACGGGTGACGACTGCAGCGAGAACATCGACGACTGCGCCAGCGCCGCGTGCCATCAGGGCTCCACCTGCCATGACCGCGTGGCTTCCTTTCACTGCCAGTGCCTGCCGGGCCGCACAGGTATTTATCTTTAATTAGCTCTTAATATGTAAGAGGGTTTTATATGAACATGTTTCAGCCTTATAAGATACAATTACTTAGGATAGCTTTCTATGATGAGATTACACTCTATGCTGTGTTGTGAAGGGTACAGGAAATGAAGGCTTAAATTAAAGGCTAAAAAGTCTATAGAGAAAAATGATAATATTTGGTTTTCAAACTGCTCGTTTGAAATATATCTTTTTTTATCACCATTGTAATGTCAACATGCACAATAAACACAACTTTGAAAGAATGCAATATTGTACCGTGGGATTTTAATTAAATTATTGAAAGAGACAAAACTGAACTTTAACAAATTATCAGTCGAACTGATCTTAATATATAGTTTGAAATATTGCTATACTCTTTTAATAACTTTATAATTTCTGCATTTAGACGTTCAGTTAACTTGTCTTCTCAATGCCATTTGAAGACGCCACTGTGATGAAATCCATCAGTTTATTTTACTGGAGGGATGTCTTTTTTACCTCCTTTTTCTTCCCCAAATAATTGTTAATCTTTGGTGTTAATTCTGTGCCTGTTCAAAGTAAATACATGTTGCCACGCGTTACTTTAGCAGTAACTCTCTTTAATGTTTTAAACTGGACAGGATGGAGTATAAAGTCTATCTTCTGTGTTACCAGGACTGCTGTGCCAGCTGAAGGACGCATGCATTAGCAACCCGTGTCAGAAAGGTTCCAACTGTGACACCAGCCCTGTCAGCGGAAACCATTTCTGCACCTGTCCGACTGGGTACATCGGAGCGTCCTGTGATCAGGATGTGGACGAGTGCTCACTGGGTAAAACTAAATCGAACATATGTTTCCTATATTCAGCCCAAAAACGACAAAAAACGACTGTCAAGAACGTTTTTCAAAACACATGTATAACTCTTTTATATAATCTCCTTCTTTCCTGATATTATTGTTACTTTGGTTCCCATACTTGTGCTCATAATGTCAGCAAAATAAAAGCCAAGTCATGTCTTTGCGGTCAGAGGGCTCCGTGTAAGGTCATGTACATACACAATACGCTGTTTAAGTAACGTAAAGTATGGATTTGTTTTAAACAGGTTCCAACCCATGTGAGCATGCAGGGAAGTGTATAAACACCAAGGGCTCGTTCCAGTGTAAGTGCCAGCGTGGTTACGTGGGGCCGCGCTGCGAGCTCGACATCAACGAGTGCATGTCCAACCCCTGTTTGAATGAGGCCACCTGCCTGGACCAGATAGGAGACTTCCACTGTATCTGCATGCCAGGTAAGACATGAGAGTGAGAGTAATCACAGAAATTCTAGGCATTGGGAGTGACGTTTTATAAATTGCAAAGCCTTGATAATGCATTCTTTGTTATTGTTACATTGATTCAAATATATAAATACTTTTTAATGTATTTAAAGCCATTTAAAAAGGGAGAAATTATGTATTAAATGATTTCATTGTTTTAATTGAAATGTCAAATGACAGAAAATAACTATATTCATAATTGATCAATAATATAAGTCAGTTTCCCAGAAATAAATGCCAAACTTCTACAGTTCTACAATAGTTTCTAAATGTTCTCAACTTCCTTCATCTTATGGGAAAGCGTAGTGATTATCTCAATCAATTGCACTGTTTGGTTTACGTCCTCTTAAACTGAACATGAATTATGATGGCCACTTTTCACTATGATAACATGAGAAATAAGTTGCAGTTCTACTGGTTTTCACAAAGCCTCTGTGTATAATTGAAATTAGCTACAGCGGTGTATGTATATAACATCAGTGTGAAAGCGCCTCTCTCTGTGTCTCTTGTCTAACCGATCTACCCCCCGTCCCCCCCACCCCACCCCTCCTATCCTCCCTTGCTAATTGGCCAGGTTACGAGGGGGAGTTCTGCGAGATCGATACAGACGAGTGCGCCAACAGCCCCTGCCTGAACAACGGCAAGTGTATCGACAAGATCAACGCCTTCCACTGCCAGTGCCCCACAGGTGAGGCTGCGTACTGCTGCAGAGGGGGCGGGGGGGGAGGGAGGAGGCATGGGGCCAGGGGGCACAGAGGTCGATCTCTCTTCCTTACTCTCTAACTCTATCTCTCTTTCACTCAAACACAAATACACACAAACACCTTTCTGGACGGGCACTAATCCCTGCCCTGAGGCAGGCTTACGCAGGCCCGGGTAGCCCAGAATGAACGCAGCAGTCGAGGAGGAGAGGGAAGAAAGAAATCTATAGGGAAAGGCCTGGGGAAGTTTGAACAAGTTTCTTATAACTTTTGCTAAGTCTGATGAGTGAGCAGAAACGTGTGGATCTAAACCAGAGTCTAGATTGTGACTAAGAGCAAGGGAGAGCTAATAATAGCAGGCACTATAACATGAGATGTTCTGCATTCTGATGGTGAATGAGGTAATGGTTTGATCTATTTTGAGGGCAGCTACTGTAGTTGTGTTTTTAAGCTCTTATTTTGTTACCAGAAATGCCATTGGGTGTACATTATTTGGACAGCTATTGATGTTTTGTTCAGGAGTGAAGGAATGCCACTATTGAATGTGGATAGAGAGAAAAGAAGAAAGCAAAGGAGCGATCTTCAAAAGTGTTTTTTTCTGTTTTGCATTCTTTCTTTGGGATCATTGAGGTGGAAGCGATTTTTTTTCTTCTTCACGTTCTTTCTTTTCGGGGAAAAAAATAAAGAAGCGAGTCGGGTGGATCAAAGGCGGCCTGGGTGGAGTGAGGCAGGATTCCTCCTGTTGAGAAGGGAAGGAAGAAGGCTAGAAATAAAAGAAAGAAAGAAAGAAAGAGGGACACCCCAACAGGAAAGCTTTAGAATTAATAGAAGGAGTACAAGAGTGAACAGAAGAGCTTAACGCCTAAGAAAACTGTGGGACAGTGAGAGAGGGTGTATGTGAGGAAGCGGCACAAAGTGGTGCTGAACGTGTTGTTTTGAGAGGGTGGATGGAGTGGTGGGGGGTATTAGAGGCACGGACCGTTATGCTGAAGCAGGCAGGGAGGGGTATAGAAGGGGAAGGGGCCTTAACCGCCCTGCTTGAGATGTAAATTTGTCCCCGTTGCGAGGGTCCCCTCTTATTATTTCTGTACATGGAATAGCCATGGAAACCCCACTGAGAGCCATTGAAATGTCTGATTCCTGCAGTCTGGGGATAAACCCCTCTTTGGCGGCTGGGATGCATGATGTGTGTTTGTGCATTTCTGCCTCAGCTTGGGTATGCTTGTTTGTGCATCTGGGTTAGATATTCTTTCACAGGGCACTGTAACAGAACTCTAAAGACATTTTACTTTTTGCGTCACATCTTGGCAAAGACTTCTGAGGCTTCTTTCTCGCTGTTGGAAATTAGCAACATTTCTAGCAGAATAAACTGGTGTTGTTTTCCCCTCTCACTCTGCAAAACAGCTGGTCTTCCACTTTTCGATTATGTATAATATAGGCAGCTTTTTATTGTGGATCGAATAGTTTAAGTGTGGTTAGAATTTAATTTCTAGGGCATAACATGTTTTCTAAGGCTGCATATCAGTTTGATAAACTTACTGCAAGCCACATAAAAACTGACAGTCACTAAAACAGTGACCCTTAATAAAGTGTATGAAGGACTCAGAGGAACAGAAAGGTCAAATAGTTTCTCAAAAAAAAGAATCTGGATTATAAAATGTTTTAATGCATGTTTTACTTACGCTTTTTAAAGCATTTTTAAGCATTTTTAAGCAGTTATTAACAACATTTCATTTACCAGGTTGTTAAAAATACCTGCAGAATTAAAAGAGAAATTATGAAAAAAACTGCAAAAGCTTTTTCAAAATCCTTCAAAAATATCTTAGAAATCGTTAAACTGTTGAAAATGTCAAAGGTTATTTAACAATTATAAGCTAATTGTTATTAAGCATAACAAATAGCTTTATAAAGCATCCAATTATTTATAAACCATCCAGTTGTTACCTAATGTGACTTCCAAATTATAATCTTTTGGCAAATTTCTCGTACTTTTTCTTTTTAGTTACACAAAAACCGTTTGTTTTTACATACTATTTGTGTATAGATGAAAATACACATGCATGTCCTCATGAATGCTTCTAGCAAAGTCCACTGTGAGAAATCAGCTCCCCCTTTCAGTTGAGCAGCAACTGAGTCTTTTTAGCTCAAACCACCTGCATGTTCCTGTGTGGTGTGGAGGAGGAGGGGAGCTAGGGCTTTATCTCTTCATCAGACAACATCCTACAAGTACCTGGACTATACCATCATGTGAACAAGGGGGAGACGAATAGAAAATAGCTGAGATCGGGATAACTCCGGGAAAAAGCAAAGGGAAAGACCGCTGGTAGATTTTGAATGACAAGGAGTTTGAATAGTTGCAGGTCAAAGGTCAAGCGAGGCTTTTAGAGGCGGACGGGCAGGAGGTGGAGGGGGTGGTGGAGAAGGGGTGAAAGCAAGACGGGAGAATGCGCATTGTGATGGAAAAGTTTTTGGGGACAAAGGAGGCAACGGGCTCAGTTTGGCGTTGCGTTGAGCAGACAGGCCCTCCTTTGTCTCTCAACTCTTGGTCAGGAGGCCTCGCAACTTTCATTCTTCCCTCATTTCTTTCCCTCCCTCCCCCCCACTTTGAACGAATTGGTGCCCCTCGCCCTCCCGTCTCCTTTTGGAGTCGTGCTGAAAAGAAGTGAAAGGGAAAATAGAGAGTTTGTAGTGTTGCACAGTTGTTAATTAACATGCAGATTTTCTGATTCGATGAGAGTATGGACTCAGGATTATGAGTGGTCTAGAATGGTGAGAACACACACACACACACACACACACACACACACACACACACACACACACACACACATACTCCTTCATGCTCACATGCACACAGTAACCCCCCTTGTTGTTTTTCCAGGCTTCACTGGGAACCTTTGCCAGATAGACATCGACGAGTGTGCCAGCACGCCTTGCAAAAATGGCGCCAAGTGCACAGACGGCCCAAACAAGTACACCTGCGAGTGCACTGAAGGTAAACAAGTGCTGATTAAAGCTGAATATAACATTTTTGTCTTTTAAGGCAAACTGTAAGGTTTGCAATTGCAGAAATAAAATAAACCAATTATATTTACCCTAGGAAAAAACATGCCAAATGTAATAAAGATTAGTACAACAGTTAAAAAACAAATGTTTTAATTTATCCAGGTTACTCTGGGAGGCACTGTGAGACAGACATCAACGAGTGTTACTCGGACCCCTGCCACTACGGCACCTGCATCGACGGCCTGGCCTCTTTCAGCTGCCAATGCAAGCCGGGTTACACCGGGCGTCTGTGTGAGACCAACATCAACGAGTGTCTGAGCCAGCCGTGCAGGAACGGAGGCACCTGCCAGGACCGGGAGAACGCCTACATCTGTAGCTGCCTCAAGGGCACCACAGGTGACTGCCACACGCATACAAAAACACATGTAATCATTACTTTTTAATGACATTCACGGATACTAAAATACGTTTTTCAACAGGAATCAACTGTGAAATCAACATTGACGACTGCAAGAGCAATCCCTGTGACTATGGGACCTGCATCGACAAGATCAATGGCTACGAGTGTGCATGTGAACGCGGCTACTCTGGTAAGCATTATTCTACACAGACAGCTGGTCATTATTGCATATGACCTTTTGTGTGGGAATAACATTTTTAACCCACTTGATTTAAAAATACTAATTAACACTGATACCTACTGAATCATGACAGACCTTCGATATGCCAATAGGCTCTCTACTATGCAAAGTTACCTTAAGACAGGTAAACATGGCTGCTGTCTCAGGTGGCCAGCAGATAAATGAGTGTTTAAGGTGTACGATTTAACGTATGGACAGAGGAGCGAGCCTTCCTGATGGGGAGGGTGACAGATGGCGAGCGAGTGCGCACGCTCCGCTGAGGCTCGACCGGTATCACTTTCCAGCTCCTCCCTGTCCCCAACCTGCTGCTGTTAGGACACAACAAGCTGCCCTCCTGTACAAAGAGAGGACACACACACACACACACACACACACACACACACACACACACACACACACCTGGGATTTGAGCGGGAGAAAAAATTCCCTGAAAGATTCCTGAAAGTTGAGCTTTTAAAAGCTTGGAAGCAGGTCCCTGCTCTAAAGCTAAATGGGCTGCCTTCATGCTATGCGTGGCACCAGGCTGAATGGCGTCAACGCTCCAAGTGGCCGACAAAGAGGGACTTAAAAACCCCTCATGTTTCTGGAAATTTATACATTGGCTGCTCTGAGATATAGATTTCATTGTGTTGCGGCTTTGTGTGATGCTATGTGACTTGCCTCTGTGTATTTCAAATAGTAACTCACATGAAGTGCAAAATTGTGTTATTGACAGCTGTAGCAGAAATTATTTTAAAATTTAAAAACCATCAGTTTACTGTCTTTACAAAAGACGTTTATTGTCTTTCTTGCCAACATTTGTATCAGAAGTGTTATATCTGTCAACTAAACATTTGATTAAAGCAAGGAGACAGTTAGCCTAGCTTAGCATAATGACTTCCTAGTAGAACACATTAGGCGCTTTCACACCAAGTACTTTGCCGTACTTAGTTCCCAGTACTTAGTTAATCAGAACTCTTTAGTTCTTGTTCTTGTTCTTGTTCTTGTTCTTGTTCTTCTTCTTCTTCTTGTTCTTGTTCTTCTTCTTCTTCTTCTTCTTCCCGAGCAGTTCTTCTGGAGTTGGGGACTGGCTTCAGTAGAAGCTGCTGGCACTCTCAGCAGCTTCTACCAGACCCGGCGCCGTGGGAGGGCCAGGACTGCTAATGCTAATGCCAATGCCAGAAAATACAATGGCGGCTTTTCTGAGTTTTACGGGGCGTAGTTTGCAATTCGCCCAGCCAATCAAAAATGGGAACCTTTTTCTCCCAGGAAAGTACCTGCTCTCTAGCAGGGACTAAAAAGGGGGTGAAAAGGTTCAAATGAACTAAGTTCTAGTTCTGTTTTTTTTTGGTGTGAACGCAACATTTCAAGAACTATCGAAACTATAGCCTACTGGGAAAAGTACTCCGGTGTGAAAGCGCCTATAGTCCCCCTGTAAAAACCTTATAGTTTTTCATTTTTGGTGTGGAATAAACAAATAAAATGCATTGTTTTGATTAGTGAACTCTAGGTGCTGATGGTTGTTTGTTTTCTTTTGACATAGCCAGGCTAACTGTTTCCCTTTGTTTTTTAGTCTTAATGCTAAGTTTGGCTATTCAGCTCTAGCCACATATTTAGCACACTGAATTGAAAGTTTGATGAATCTTCCCAGTTCCCTTTTGCCTCTTGGCAGGCTGTTGATAATAAGTATGTTTTCTACTCATTGTACAAATGATGCTACATGATAGTAAAGCATCCTGTCCTTTTTCTCAGGTACCATGTGTAACATGAACATTGACGAGTGTGCCATAAACCCCTGCCACAATGGCGGCACCTGTATCGACGGCATCAACAGCTTCACCTGCGTGTGTCCAGAAGGTTACCATGACACCACCTGCTTCTCCCAGGTCAACGAGTGCCTCAGCAACCCCTGCATTCATGGCCACTGCGATGACAAGATCAACGGGTGAGACTTTCTACAAACTGCTCAATGATATTTCCAAAGAACCTGTTAATCATAGTTTATTGTTTTTCTCTACGACAGCTATAAATGCCTGTGTGATTCTGGCTGGAGCGGTAAAAACTGCGACATTAACAACAATGAGTGTGAATCCAACCCCTGTATGAATGGAGGCACCTGCAAGGACATGACCAGCGGATATGTCTGCAACTGTCGCATGGGCTTCACCGGTCAGTATTTGTGTGGATTATTATTTGTTGATGTTTAAGCCTGTATGTGTCTCCAAACTATTTGACTGTTTTACCTCTTAACTGAAGTGTGTATAAAATACTGTTTGCTCTATCCGCAGGCCCAAACTGTCAGACCAACATCAATGAATGTGCCTCCAACCCCTGCCTCAACCAGGGGACGTGCATTGACGATGTCGCTGGTTACAAGTGCAACTGTGTCCTGCCCTACACGGGTATGAAAATATTATTGAAAATATTTGTTACACCCATGTGTTGGCCTGGTGTTCAGGCATTTCCTTCCTTTTTCCACAGCCAGTGTGCTTTAAGTTATTGGGCAAAGAGGAAACATTTGCGTGGGGTCAAATAACTGTCGAGGAAAGTTCAGCCTCAAGACTCCCTCAGGGCTGAGTGACACCGAACCTCTGACTCCTTCTGCTTCTGTGTTACACAAGCATCCCGATAAGAGAGCTGGAAAATATTTTCATGCCATCTCACTTATTTTGTGACAAAACAGATAATGATGGAAAGGTGAAGGTTACGTTTTCTCGTATTTGTCGAGTCGTCTATTTCGGAAAAATCCACAGGACTTTAAATAATAAAGGGCCCTTCGCTTGTGCCGGGGTGGGAACAGGGGTTCTTGACACATTTCCTGTTTGCCTGCTTCCTGTCTCACAGAACCGCAAATGGTTTCACAATGGCCGGAAACTGGACCCTGCTTCCTGTAGGAGCCGTGTGTTATGGAAACAGATAGGGAAATGTCTCCGCAGGCCTCTCACACTGACGGAACCTGGCTAAAATCTTCTGATAGCACTGATTGAAAGATGATTCTGTGTCCATTTGGGTTGGGTTATCTCCAAGTGTATGATGACTCATACTTGGTATCAGGCAGTAGAGTTAATGTTAAACACATAACAGATGTCATTTATTTGTGTTAAATATGTTATTTGGATTGTGTGTTATAGGAGAGAACTGTGAAACCTTGATGGCACCCTGCAGCTCTAAACCCTGCAAGCAAGGAGGAGTGTGTCAGGAGTCAGAGGACTATCAGAGCTTCTCCTGCATCTGTCCTGAAGGATGGCAAGGTAAACATTAATGTCTTAATTCCTGTGTGACCTAAAGGAACTAGTAAACAATTCCTCTATGAATTCCCAACAAAATAATTTTACAACAGAACTCTAGTTTCAGGATGTTCTTTCTCCCAGTATAGTCTTGCTAAAAATGCCAGATTATTTAAGAATGTATATCAATACAAAAATTACATTTATTTATTACTCACACAATCTTACTGTTCAAATCATTCATCCCTGTGCCCAGCTTCAGAAAGCAACTAATAACTAGGAAAAAGTCAATAGTATAGAATAAATAAATATATGTGGCAATGTTTAACAAAAGAGAGATGCACTTTACAGTATCTTCCTTTTTCCACCCCTCAAAGGTCAAACATGTGAGGTGGACATCAAAGAGTGTGTAAAGAATCCCTGTCGCAATGGAGCGACCTGCCAGAACACTTTGGGCAGTTACCGCTGTGCATGCAAACCGGGCTTCGCTGGACGCAACTGCGAAAGCAACGTGGATGACTGCAAGCCCAGTACGTTCTCAAGTTTCTCGTACATTACATACTCTACATTCATTTCAAACCAAGAGCTTAAAAAAGGGGCTAAAACACATTCGCTTAGCTTATCCTGATGCCCCCTCCTCCCACAGACCCCTGCAGTAACGGCGGCCTATGTAAGGACGAGGTGAACGGCTTCCTGTGCACCTGCCAGCCCGGCTTCAGGGGCACAAAGTGCCAGGAGGACATCAACGAGTGCGAGAGCAACCCCTGCAAGAACGGAGCCAACTGCACCGACTGCGTCAACAGCTACACCTGCACCTGCCCGGCCGGATTTAGCGGGATCCACTGTGAAAATAACACGCCTGACTGCACCGAGAGGTACACAGTAGTAATATATATACAAGTACATGCAACTTTATATAGCACTTTAAAAGGCAAACAGGTTCAGCAACAAGGTGCTTCACAAAGACACATTTTAAAAAAGAAGAATTATAAATAAGTGTGAACATGTTATCAGATACAAAAAAGAAGAAACAGTTACTCACTATTAAATGTATTCAAACCATTTGTATTATAACAGATAAGACAGTCAGGTGAACACTGAACTCCATGTGTATCTACACAAATTGTTAAGTAGGATCAACAGATTCACTTTTATCCACTTGTTCATGTAGAGCCCATTTTCTTGTCCACCACTGCCCCTTCTGGTGGAGGGTTGATGTGCACCAGCTGACTTCAGCACTGTTGCAGCTGTCCTATGAACAGTGGGTTAGCTGGCCGGTACTCTAAATGAGCTTGTAACTGTAGAGTTGTTAAAATGCAAGGAATGGTTTTGTGTTTCAACTATCTTGGCAGCTCCCAGGAGGGAGTTTGAATATGGAGTAAATAAAAAGTATTTCTTCTTGGGTAACTTTCTATGGTTAAATCAGAAGTGAATGAGTACACAACTTCAGTGGATCAGAGTTTATTTACTCCTCTCTTCCTTGAAAGCTACTTTACATCTTATTGAGTTTGATTTCATACAACAATTTATTATTTTTTCCTCTGCAGCTCCTGTTTCAATGGGGGTTCCTGTATGGACGGCATCAACACCTACACCTGTTTATGCCCGCCGGGCTTTACTGGGAGCTACTGCCAGCATGACATCAACGAGTGTGACTCCAAACCCTGCCTGAACGGCGGCACCTGCCAGGACAGCTACGGCACATACAAGTGCACCTGCCCTCACGGATACACAGGGCTCAACTGCCAGGTAGGCGGACAGGGAGGGGCTTTAAATTAGCTTGTTTGTCTTTGACTTTATTTAGCGGTATAAAGTATTGTTGTGAACTTTTTTAGTGGTGTGCAGGTAAACACTGAAACATTGCATAAATAATAAGAAATAAACCAAAAAAAGTCCATCTGAACCAAGTTTAGCTCTGTGTTACTTATACTTTTATAATCATTTTGAACCACAAAACACCAAATCAATGTTTAAAATGTTTAAATAGTTATAAGTAAATGACTGAGTTTACTGCGTTAAACCTTCCAGAATTTGGTCCGCTGGTGCGACACGTCTCCCTGTAAGAACGGTGGAACTTGCTGGCAGAGAGGAACCTCCTACAACTGCGAGTGTGAGACCGGCTGGGGGGGACTTTATTGTGATGTCCCAAGTGTCTCCTGTGAGGTGGCGGCCAAACAGAGAGGTAAGTTGTGCCTTACCTGGGTTTGGATATCAAAATCACATCATATATTGTGAATTAGTGTGTTTGTGAAAATGAAATGCTCACCGTCTCGTCCTGTCTGCGTAGGAGTGGACGTTTCCCTTCTTTGCCGTAACTCGGGTCAGTGTCTGGACGCAGGAAACGTGCACTACTGCCACTGCCAGGTTGGATATACTGGCAGTTACTGTGGGGAGCAGGTGGACGAGTGCACCCCCAACCCCTGCCAGAACGGAGCCACCTGCACTGACTTCTTAGGCGGATACACCTGCAAGGTAACAGCACTTAAAACAATATGCATCCAGTTGTTGGTGTTATACCTTTTGTAACTTGTTAAGATAAACCTAATTTGGACATTATTCCAGTGAAAACCAGCTAAGCAAGTTCGTTTTAATTTAATGTTGCAAATTGAGTGTCATCTGTCACTCTACTTGGCTAAACTTAATCAGTTTGCAAGTCTTGTCTTACTTTTTTATTTTGAAACTCAAACCTTTATTTTTAAATGTGTTAAATGCCTGAATGTAGAGCATGCATCCTTCGAGCTTAAACAACCCCAGGCATTGCTAATGAAGAGGCCTGCTTATAAATAGCAGGAAAATAGCTTGGTTATGTTAATCTCCTCTGGATCCGCTGGCCTTGGCAGGATGGAGGCCAGAAAACAGCCAGGTAAACAAAAAAAAACATCTCTGTTTCATGTCACACATTGATTAAACTTTTCCCTCTCTTCTTCCTCCTCCGCCTTCTTTTTTCTTCCTCCTTCTCGGCTCCTTCTTCTTCTCCTTCTTCTTCTTCTCCTGCTCTCTCAGTGTCTGCCAGGATACGTGGGGACGAACTGCTCTGACGAGATCAATGAATGTTTCTCCCAGCCGTGCCAGAACGGGGGCACCTGCATTGACCTGATCAATACCTACAAATGCTCCTGTCCCCGGGGAACCCAAGGTCAGCAGACCCCACGCACACTCCTCCACACCACTCTGCCCCTCCATCCTCTCCTCCCTTGTCTCCACGCTTCATTAATTAGGGCTTAACAGCAGCCGGGGCATGTCTGCAAAACTCCTCCTCCTGTCGTGCCTCCATCCTTTCCTCCCCATGTCAAATATGACATTGATTTTTCTCTCACTTGTGAGGAGAGGGTGTGTTGCCCAAATTGCCAGTGGAGTTGGGCATATCCAAAAAAGGATGAGAGTTTTTAATTAAAAAAAAAAAGTCAGAGGCCTTAACAAAAAGTTTAGGAAAATCAACCTTAAATTATGCATTTTTTATATTTATGGTTTTATTATTCCCCCCTTTTTATTCAGATTTGTTTTATTTTATTAACCACATATATAAACTTATTTTTGTTTTTGAATATATAAACTTGATTTTAATTATTTACTTCATTCTTACAAAATAATTGTTTCTTACTGCGATTTTCTGCTTCTATTTTAACTTAAAGAGTGTTACCGTGTGGAAGCAGGACACCATAAGTATTCATTTTATTTGTTAATTCTTAAAGTAGTTAATTGTATTTCTGAGATTTGTTCCTGCTTTTACCCTCTATGGTCATAATGCATTGCAGCAATGAGGCATTTCCCATTTTTGAGGGAATTATGAGGCAGTTTTTTCCTACACTACATTTTTCTTTTTGCCTGTGGCTTTAGATCAGGCAGTCATTTATAAAAGGTTCTGAACGTTAATGCGTTTGTTTTCCGATTGAAAGCTGATGATGCTTTTCCCTACTCCTCCCTCAGGTGTGCACTGTGAGATCAACATGGACGACTGCAACCCATTCACCGACCCGGTCACCAACGAGCCCAAGTGTTTCAACAAGGGCAAGTGTGTGGATCGAGTGGGGGGCTACCACTGCATCTGCTCTGCGGGGTACGTAGGGGAGCGCTGCGAGGGAGACGTCAACGAGTGTCTCTCCAACCCCTGTGACTATCGGGGGACGCACAGCTGCATTCAGCTCACCAACAGCTACCGCTGCGACTGTCGCACCGGATACACAGGTACACAGCCGGTCGGGGGGGAACGAGGTGGCAATTTTGTGTCAGTTTAGAGAATGAGGGAGAAACATGTGCTGTTGCTTAGGTGTTTTTTCAGATTCCCAGCCCATGAAAAACATTTGAATTCCTAGGGCCCTTTCTTATTCTAATGTTGTACAATAATCCGTTTTTGTTTTTACTTTTACTCGGTTCCTGTTATGCCTGTATATGCCTTTTTGGCCTTATACAGATATGATATTAAGCTGAACAACAAAATGTAACTTGCACTGAAATAGAAATGAAACACTGTAAACTAATCAATTACTGTTGCATTTGCAGTTATTTTATGAATTGCTTAAAGTAAAAAAAAAAAAAAATGTTCTCATAAGTAAGGATTTGACTGCTTTTATATGTGTCTTATGTGACCATAGATTATATATTTATTTCGGTTTTGAACTGCTGGTTGGACTAAACAACCTCGGAAAATGTTACCATTTGAGGATATTTTTTGAAAGTGACATAATATATGGGTGTGACTCTTCAGGTGAACGCTGTGAAACCGTGTTTGATGGATGTAAGGGGAAGCCGTGTCGCAATGGAGGGTCCTGCGCCGTAGCCAGCAACACACAATACGGTTTCATCTGCAAATGTCCTCCTGTGAGTACCTAAACACTCCTACACACTTTCAAGTAAACACACACAGACAGGCAGATCACTGTCACTTGTAACAATATTATGTTAAATCACGTTCAGAGAAATACAAAAAAACTGCTACATCCTTTATTCTAACATTATCCTTAAAATAAGAAAATTGAGGCTTGAACAACTCTTTTTTTCCAAAAGGCCTAACTGCCATATTTTATACATTTGATAAAAAATATATACAGTATATATATATATATATATATATATATATGTTTTATCAATAGAAAAGCTTTACATTATTTAACTTGTGCATGTCACTATCCTCGGGAAGCACTACCACCTTCTTTTACTTTAAACTTATCCTTTGAGAAAGATTAATGGGTACCAGACTGTTGTCATCATGAGAATACATCTGTGTCCTCTGATAATCACACACACACACATAGTTGACCTACATGCACACATAATAGATTTTATAATGATTATTTAAATAGAAAAATATAATAATGAGATCTAAAGTATTTTCCAAGATCATATTGTAATCCTCATTTTAATCTTTTTCCTCCTCTAACAGGGTTTTACCGGCTCCACGTGTGAATATGACGCCCAGGCCTGCGGCAGCCTTCACTGTCGTCATGGAGGCACCTGTATCTCCGGCCACAAGAACCCCAAGTGTCTGTGCACCCCATCCTTCACCGGGCCGGAGTGCCAGTATCCCACTGACAGCCCTTGTAACTCCAGCCCCTGTTACAACGGTGGCACGTGTGAGTACACCACCGAGGCGCCTTTTTACAACTGCGTCTGCCCCAACAACTTCAACGGCCTCCGCTGCCACATCCTGGACTACAGCTTCCAGGGAGGGTTCGGACACGACATCCCGCTGCCGCCTCCCGAGGTGGAGGTCAGTTGCGACATCCCGCTGTGCGAGGAAGCTCAGCACAACGAGTACTGCGACGTGCTCTGTAACAACCACGCCTGTGGCTGGGACAACGGAGACTGCTCGCTCAACTTCGACGATCCGTGGAAGAACTGCTCGGCCTCTCTGCAGTGCTGGCGGTACTTCAACGATGGGAAGTGTGATTCGCAGTGTGACAACGCCGGGTGTCTGTACGACGGGTTTGACTGCCAGAATCTGGAAGGACAGTGCAAGTGAGTAGTGTTTGGAGTTGAAATTAAAACTGAAATATTAGTGGAATTGTATTTAACAGGCCGTAGTGTGCCACTGACAGATCAAAGCAGATCCAAAAACGAAACAATTATTGTATTTTCTATTTAAATGGAAAAGTTTGAATTTACACAGTTTGGCAACTCAAAATGCACTAAAGTTTTATTTTCCAGGCCAGGATTTAACTTTTTAAATAGAATCCATATTTTCAAAAATAATATAAATTTAAACTTGTTGTCAATGCGGCCTACAATGAAGATTTAACGTTCACCTTTATTGTCATTATACACTGTAGTTGGCCCAGTTCATGCTACACAAAAACAAATTACAGTTTTAACACTGATTATTAAACTGGTCATATATTTTAATTAACAAACAAATATATATATATTTCATTCACAATAGATACTTGGTTATATATATTATGATTTTATACAGTGTGTGTGCTTCTGTTTGAACCCAGATCATGTGACATTACTGGAGCAGGATAGTAATTCAATGAGGTTTATTTGTGACTCCTTTTTAAGTCTATATTTGTGTTTCTGTGATGCAGCCATCTATTGCTATCTAAAGCTTTAAAAGTGCTTGGTATTATTATTCTTAAACATGGTCATACTGAATATAATGAACTGCACCCCTAACTTAACCTCTTTTCTGCAGTCCTCTGTATGACCAGTACTGCAAAGACCACTACGCTGACGGCCACTGCGACCAGGGCTGCAACAATGCTGAGTGTGAGTGGGACGGCTTGGACTGCGCTAACAGCATGCCAGAGAAGCTCGCAGTGGGCCAGCTGGTCCTGGTGGTGCATATAGCCCCCGTGCAGCTCCTCAACAACTCCTTCGGCTTCCTGCGCGAGCTGAGCCGCGTCCTCCGCACCAACGTGGTCTTCAGAAAGGACGCCAAGGGCGAGACGATGGTGTACCCATACTACGGGAACGATCACGAGCTGAAAAAGTACACAGTTAAGCGCTCAGTGGATTCCTGGTCAGAGGTTCCTGGCAAGGTGCTGAACGTGATGAAGAGGAGCCTGAAAGACATGGTGGGCGGGAGCAGGAGAGTGAGGAGGGAGCTGGATCACCTGCAGATCAAAGGGTGAGCAAAGATACCCTGAGATGTGTTGGTCTTTAACTATACTCCACGTTTTTAAGGATTCGGGAGCTAATTCATAAAAAGAGGTTGCAGCTTTTGTGGCAGCTGAACCTGCACGAGAAAGACAAGTGCTCTTGTCTATATTGGCCTGTATTTCAATTATGTAAAATATTGCATGTGGCACAAGATTACACACTCTCTATTACAAATAAGCCTTATTGCGTCAACTTTCCCATTCACAAACATTGGCGCTCAGTGCGTCACACAGTAAAAGGACAATGATTAGGCTTTGATTGTAACTGATTGCTTATCTTTCCTGTCATCAGTGATTGTAGCTGGATAAAGGCATCGTCATGCATTAAATTCATTTAATTTTGTATTTAAAATTCCCATTTCAGTGGTCAAAATAGGTTTAAATATGTAGATTTAACTTGACCTCTCTGTGTGCCTTCTCTTCTCTCTTCAGTTCTATGGTTCACTTGGAGGTGGACAACCGTCAGTGTTTCCAGCAGTCCACCGAGTGTTTCCAGAGCACCGATGACGCTGCTGCCTTCCTCGGAGCTCTGGCCTCCAGTGGCAAACTGGACGTTCCCTACACCATCGAAGCAGTTTATAGTGAGTACATCCTATTTAGGTCTCCATGGTTCAAATAAAATATGTTGTTTGTAAGGTTTCAGTTGAGAAGCATCATGTTGCACTGGGTAACTGTTCTTCCTCATGATTATTTTTAAAGGGGACCTATCATGCAAAATGCACTTTTGTATGTCTTTTATACATAAATTAGGGCCGGGACTTTAACGCGTTAATTAAGATTAATTAATTACACAAAAATTAACGCGTTAAAAAAATTAACGCATTTTAATCGCACTTATTTTTGCACCGCGGAACGTTTCTCACTGGATGAGTTTCAGGGGTACCGATTATACTGGAGCACCAACTAACGTTCATTACTTCAGACAACAACAAACCACAGTGAACAATAGTCAAACGTGAACGAAGAAGCTGATGAGACCGCTTTGTTGGCCCCGTGAATGGGACATTTTGTTTTAAAAAACGGACGGATGGAAGCGTCAATAAGAGCACAGTTGTTTGCAAATTATGCAAAAAGGAATTCGCATATCACCGCAGCACATCAAGCCTCAAGTATCACCTCAATGCAAAACATATAGCAGCTAGCGTGGAAGCTAGCGTGGACGTTAGCCCGACTCGTAGTACAAGGACCCACACCCAATTCGCGTTGATCAAACAGTGGCCTATGCAACAGAGAGATTTTATTTTTCATCAGGATATTGGAAGAATAGGAGGGATTGAGGTCAATCACTGGCACTTTTTTATTTATTTTAAATGGTACACTTTATGTTGAACTGTTTATTACGTTGTTGGTGCAACTGGCACTTTATGTTG